CACAGAAAATAGCTGATCCAATGATGGCACGGCGCCCTCGGTCCTTGAGGCATGGGGCACCCCTCCGAGATCCATGACGACACGGTGAGTCTCTTTCTAAGGTGACGGGGATCTCTCGAGGAGGTGGTGGGAGGAGCATCGGTGGTGCTAGAGCCGCCTGCTCAGGCCGTGGGTGTGGGGCATGCCGGGGAGCACGAGGCCGCCAGAGCCGGGTGGCAAAAAGGGAAGGAGGAGGATGCCACGGTGGCACTAGGGAGATGGAGATAAGCTGCCCCATGGATGTCCGCCACATCGCTGTGTCACCTTCGATCGCTTTCATGGATTCTCGACCTCTGTCATGTTCAAGGATGAGATGCTGCTGCGTCCCCAACACTAGCGCTGCTGCAAAGTTGTCTCGACCTCAATCGAAGGCAATGCATCCTCGCTCATTTGTTTCTTTACTTTTAAATTTTGTTTGACAATTGTAGTTATCCAACTACACGCTTTTAGTTTGGTGATAAACTGAAATTAACCGAATTACCAACATCTTTCCTTTTTTTTTATCTTGTGACGCTTCAACGCTTGTAAACAAACGCAGGACCATTAGGGTGAGCTACCGAGTTCGGGCTTCTAGACTCACTGTAATACATTGCCTTTTTTATTTGGTTCAAACTAATGTTTGAAAACTAAAACCGTGGCTTTCCTCGTATAGGATAACACATACAAATTCAGCAAGGTGACATGTAGATCTTCTAGTATAGGTGTGTTCCTTCCGCTCTATTGTTCTACATAGCTATACCTTCTTGAGTAGTGGTATTGCCATGGCATAGATGTGTAGAGCTACTTATAGTTAATTATCTGCTTGCTTTGGTTGAGAATGTCAAGACATCAAGTGTTCCATCACAAATCGAAGTTTGCTGTAGTAGAGTGCATAAGTTACTCAATTCAGGACTCTATAGAGTACCACAAGTTTCTCCATTGCCTTCAGATAGTTGATCGATATAGAGATGATAATTCATGAAAAAATGATTGATCGATTTGAATATTATTTTTTTTTCTTTTTATATGGCAGTTAGCTTTTACTTGTCGCTAAGAAGCAAGAGGTTGTTACCGATTGCACTTGTAGATTCAATACTTTGAGTTTGTTTAGATAATCAAGCAATGCAATGCATGTGGGTTGGCTTTATGCATGTACCATTTTCTTTGTTTCCGGTGCAGATAGGTTTGTTAACGACTACCATGATCCGTCGCTTCTCATGTTTAACCGACAGATTACCGTTGAGTTAAAAGATAGAGAATTTGTTTTTTTTCTTTCTTTCCCGAGAACATGCTTGGAGGGCAGCGCACTTTATCTAGACTCATGATATGAATGGTGTTCAAGATTAGGAACAAGAAGGAACTTCCGCCAATATCGTGATCACCTTTTTGAGCACTGCAAGGACTTCATTAGGAAGTGATCATGGTCCAACGCCGCTTGAGCTTTTGCAACACCTGCTCATACAAAATGGAATTTCCTTTTGAGAAATCAGAGCTCCTAATCCTTTGGAACATATGGCTAACATCCTCAAGACCAAAGCCCAAGGTGCCACCTGAATACTACTATTCTCATTTGATTCTTTAGCTCAACACCGATATTCGAGCCAATGCAATTCAAGTCAACAAAGGTATGCCCTTATCCTAAATTTACTCTACATCTATTTTACAATGTATATTCATTTACACACCTATGTAGGATCAAACTATTATAAAGCACATGCACACTCAAGTCATACCTTTCTAGTCGCTAGGAACATGTAGTGTTAATGCAACATTGTTCTCAATATTTTCTCCTTCGCTGGTGTCCTTTGATCATTCTATCTATTGTTTTTTACCTTCATAATTAAAAATAATCTGAATTTCGCTCCGATATTTGTGTTAGATGTCGCCTTATATGCGTGGTTCCTACAGCCTATGCACCGTTGTCATAGTTCATATTTATCTAGCATGTACATGGATTAGCTTGCATCCGCTTTGTATTTCAACTTTAGCTTATTGAACATGACATTTATCGAAGATACTCAAGATTTTTTTTAAAAAAATCTCATGTTCGTGGATTGCGCATTCTCGCTTATTCCTACATGGATGAGCAAGTCTCCTTATCATACTAACTCTCGGGCATGCTAACAAGTGTCAAATGATGGTATCAGATATATTAGATTCCCACATCAATCACTTAAGGACTAAAATCAAGAACTCCCCATTTGTATACCCCTCACCCCGATATGTAACATATTCTTGGCGCCCCGATGCCGCAGGTATAGAAGGAATCTCAATTTCAACTAAGAGCCTAGATTTAGCCATTCAAGCAATCAATGCCAATTTATCGGTTCCTCGACGCTAAATATCTCACCCATGGTTGAGGTGGTGTTGCAAGTCCATTCAGCATTGATGAAATAATTTTTGTATCAACAAACCGAGCCAATTCAAGCATGCCTTTCTCGAATTTGTTCTCTGTAAAATTGGATTGATTCCTATGAAATTCTTACACAATTCATGTGATTACTTTTGTAACTTTCTATACAAAGAATGCCACACGGGCCCACCTATAACATTTGCTAATCTTAACAAGTTCACAAAACTACTTGTTCCTTTGTTCGATAACTTTATGCGCATATTGCTCGGGCTTCTAAATTATGGTTGATTCAATCAACTAAATCATCGCTGGCTATTTTTATTTGGTAATTCTATTCTACAAAACAAAACTAATTGATTTTATCAAAGTTGTTATAAAAATAAAACAAAGCTTAGTTATAATGTCAAATGTTTTCGTGAAAGGTATGTGCCGGTACCAATCAAGAAGCAATTCAACATTAGATTCCTATACTTCAAATTTGAGATTTTGTTTTTTGTATAATGCAAGGTCGATGTACATCGTGGTCACTTTAGTTATAAATTTACATTATGTGTCTCGATCGTTGGTTATCGCTATTGTTTACAATTTTCTTCTCTTGCTTATTGCCCTAATAGGCTTCAACATTTTACATGGATATCATTTCATTGGTTGGTAGCACCAAGGATTAATAAGGATAGGTTGGAAATTTTTTTGATGATATATTGTCGTTAATGCTTACAGCTATATCAAACGTAGTTCTTATTGTAGTTGTCGGCTTGCCGCCAAATAAAAAGCATTAGTTTATATTGTTGTTTTGTCAACAATGGACAAGGATTAGCTTTAGTATTCTTCCTATGTGAGCAAAGGAAATCCAAAGTCTAATTCTTTTATAGAAGCATATATGAAGTTTATTTTAGAAATATTTCCTACTGTACCAATAAAATTACTAAATTGTTCTATATTATATAACACTATAATTGATGTGTACCTCAGCAAAGGAGAGGACTCGCCCCTAGCACACACCATGTGTTGTCATATCAAAGATTTCAGCCATCCTGCTTGACCCTGCTTAATATTCTCACAGCCTTTGTAAAAGAGGTCATGACAAATTAGTGAATTGCCTAATTAGTCAACTAGCTCTGCCTCTATATATCGTAATGATGTTTATTTCAGTTCTATTATCAATTCCTATGGTGTTTATTTCCAGCTTTATGTATGTTACTAAATGGCTCTCATTCTAGACTAAAGTGACTATGGTTTCAAAAGCATGAGCTTTTTAGTTCTCGCAGACCGTGGTTCAAAGGACCTCCAAAAGTTGTTTTCAAAGAGAAAAAGTTGTTTTAGTCTACCAGAGAGCATTAGAGGTTATAGAAAAATATATGTTTTAGTCCATAAATATCCATGGTGAGGGTTACATAGATGTGCATTGATCCTGCTTGCTGTGATCCGCACTTTTGGTGCTTCTACATTAGCTTTATTGTGAGAAATCTTGGGAAAAAAAGCAATGACATACTTTTCTTTTTGCCATTTATTTTCCTCTCTTTCTGGATGATCGCAGAATAACTCTCCACTAGAAAATCCAAAGGAAGGCAATATGTAGGGCAGTGGTCACATAAGCCGCTATTTCGCGACATTGCTACTTAAAGATAGCTTTACCTTGTGCTCGTGTTTGAACTGTCTCTGTACTCAAATGCCAATCCATTTGGACACCGCAGAGACCAGATGGATGTTTACAAAGACAAAGGTGCTCATCTCTATGGAATTTCAATCCTCATATTCTCAAGGCTCTGACTTTCTAGCCCGGAAGCCCAGACTCTACGGTCATTGCCACTTGGCTATTAATGAAAACCGCCTATGAAAGCTCTAGTTTGGTTTTGGTGAATTGATGGAACCCTAAGTGCTAACCTAATTTATCAAGTGATCATGATATAGGTAGCAGTCCAAGTGGTGAAGCAAATGAAGATCATGACACGATGATGGTAATGCCATGGTGATGATCAAGTGTTTGAA